TACGAATAGTGACAGGTTTGACCACCAGGTTATAGGTTTCGAAAAAGTCAATTCCGGGCGCTGGTGAGAATCTTTGGCCACCAAACGAGCCTTAAAGTGTTCCAAAGGTCCATATGGCTTATATTTCACCGTAAAGCCCCATTTACAACCAACCACATTCTGAATTGCAGAACTGGGCACAAGTTCCAAAGTACCTTGCTGAACGAGGACAGTGATTTCTACTGCCATAGCTTCGCTCCATTCTGGTGCCTGTAAGGCTTGAGATGCACAAGTAGGAATAATATGATGGGGTAAAGGATTAGTTTGGATGATATGTGCTTTTTTTGCGAGGCTACGAGTGGTCATTGGGTGAGTACGTTGTGGTTTGTGTGGCAGAACAGGATCGCATTGGGAATGAGAGTTTGTGGCAGGACCAGTGAATAAGTCTGGATGGGGAATAGGAGTAGGAACTTGTGGCACAGTTGGGTTGGGTAGCTCAACTGGATTTGGCAGCTGAGTGGGGCGCACTCGGTCAGGAATGGGCTGAATGAGTGGTATTTCCACCAATGGATCCGTACATGAGTCAAGTCTAGGGGAAGGAGCCAAGTAAGTAGGGGGTGAGGTTTTAGCAAGGATGTTTGTTTGGGTCTGCAAGTATAGGTGATAACGGGCTTTGGGAGGGGAAGGTCTGGCTGCTTGGGCTGAGGAGTTGGGTTAGTTGTAGGATATTTTTGGGCTGGACTGTGGGGTCAGGTGAGCTGTGGGAGTTGGATTGGGTTGACGGGCTGAAATTGAAATGAAATAGGGAGAGGAAGAGGACGTACCAGGGATACCATTTGCAGACGAGGTATGAATATGAGGGGATGCCTCTGTAGTTGCAGCGCCTGGAGGAGGAATAGAGAAACAATAGGGCAGAAGCCATTCATCCAAATTAGAAGCCAAAGTGGATGAAATTACATGATTTTTAGAAAAGGGAAAGATAGTTTCATCAAACACTACATGACGGGAGATAAATATTGCATGAATTATCGGATCTAGACACCGGTAAGCACTTTGTTGATCACAATACCCAAGAAAGACACAAGGTTTAGATCGGGGTTCTAACTTATGGTTCGTGTATGGACGCAACCAGGGAAAACATTGACACCCAAAAATAGCGAATTTGCCATAGTTAGGTGAGGTATGGTGAACTGCCTCATATGGGGATTGAAAATTCTGAGAAGATGTAGGATGTCGATTGATGAGATACACAGCAGTCAGAAAAGCATATGACCAATACTTGAGAGGCATGGAAGCGTGATAAAGAAGGGTGATTCATGTCTCAACTATGTGACGGTGACGGCGTTCAGCAAAACCATTATGCTCAGGAGTATAAGATGGAGTAAGAAGATGTGTGATACCACATGAAGCAAGAAATTTACTTAAGGGTATATATTCACCACCACCATCAGAGTACACAGTTTTAATTGGTCGTTGAAAGAACTTCTCAACAAAAGTTTAAATTGTTTAAAAAGAGAGTCACTTCATAGTATAAAATCAAATGTACTTGGTAAAGTGATCAACAAATATGACATAAAACTGAAATCCATCAACAGAAGAAATACGAGCAGGACCCCACACATCAGTGTAAATAAGGTCAAGCGGACCTTCACTTGTAAGAGCAGAATGGCTAAAGGACAGCTTATGGCTTTTTATTACTGACACATGATGTGCATACAGAAATATCATTCTTGACAGACTGAGACATAATTCCTAAAGATGACAATATTTTCCTAGTTTACCGGTAAGGTCGGGTGACCTAATCGATAATGCCAATTATTAAGAGAAAATTTAGAAGTAATGTTTGCACAAGGTGGTGGTGGATCTGGAGCAGCAGCTATGTTGTAGACATCTCCTCTATACATACGGCGTAGCAAAATGGCTCCCGTTTTCCAGTCCTTTATAAAACAAAAAGATGGATGAAATTCAATTAATATATCATTGTCACGACACAATTTGGCTACAAAAATTAAATTGGTATGAATAGAAGAAACATAAAGAGTATTAGAAAGAGAGAGAGATTGAATGGTAGTGTGTCCCACTTGTGCTATTTTAAGACCTTTACCATTCCCAATTATGAGAGAATCGGTGCCAGTATAGTCAGATGCCATGGTCAAGTTGTTGAGATTGTTGGTAACATGATTCGTTGCACCGGAATCCAGTAACCAGCCATTTTTTGCAAAGGTGGCATTATTGACTTGTGTACTCTGTAAAAGATACAAATCAGTTTTAAAACAGTGCCAGCAATTAAGGGAAACATGACCTGTTTTGCCACACATTTGACACTCTGGGCGATTAGGTTCCAGATTTAGCTGAGTAGCATAGTGCTTTTGATTGTTTCTGCCATCACGCCTGCCATTGTTGTTGAACCTGTTTCGTCCATTGTTGTTGAACCGTCCATTATTGGGCTTGTGACCATAGTTAATGGGTTGAGGCCCTGGTCCTAAGAGAGAGGGGAGAGACTGGACAAAACTGGAGATTCGGCGTGAAACGGTTAGAGCAAGAGGATCACTTGTTGGCTGACTTCCAAAGGCCGCAGAATTCGCAATGGTGATAGTGCTAGAGATTGCTTTTTTCTTGCGACGACATTCGTCTTCGAATCCAACGAGGTGAGTGTGGAGGTCTTCAAATCGATAGGCTCCGTGAGACTCAAATTCAGGTTTAAGACCTTCCAGAACTTGGGTTTGGAATTCATCTGGTGAGACAAGATGACCTGCCCGGCCCAATTCAAGAGCTAGGGATTGCAAAGCGTGAAGATATTCCGAGACAGATAGGGAGCCCTGTGTAGTATGGCCGAATCTGCCTTTCAAAGTGTATATACGGGAAGGAGATGCAGTGCCATAAATCCGGTCAAGGGCTCCCCATACTTCAGCAGAGGTCCGAGAAGCATGAATGTATGGCTTAATTCCAGGAACCAGAGACGCGACCAGAGCATGACGAAGATGACGGTCTTGTTGACACCACCGAAGATATGCTTCGGCATCTGATTTTGGTGGAGGAGAGATTGCTTTATCGATATATCCATCAAGGTTAAGACCAAAGAGGACATCAAGAGCCTGATCACACCAGGATATATAATTGGTTCTATCAAGTTTTTCTGGGAAGTGAGAGGCGTTGAAGATGAATAAACCATCCCTCAATAGATCTGAATTCTTATGAGATAGGGGGGGTCATTTGAAGAAGGAGAGGCGGAAGAGAGGGTTTTCAAACCCGTTAAAGACCATGGAAAGGCTGGTTAGAGCTCAAAATGGCTCTGATACTATAATGAATTTAGAGAGAGGCAGGAATTGATAGGTAATTGCATAGTTTATTTGATGCACAGATTGTACAATTTATACAGGGAATTTCTAAGCTATTCAAGGTAAGATTATATATGAAATATATTACAATAAGTGCTGAAGAACATATTTTATTCCATATGAAATATATCATAATTAATGTTGTAGATCAATTTGATTTGCAGTTCCTTCTATAATAACCATCAACATGCATATGTTCCACCAACATTGTCACTAGATTGGGCAAGGAACTAGTGATACAACCAGATAATGTGAGTCATTGAGAAGGACAAGCAACAGTTGGTGCAACATCTGGTGCCATGGAAGGTATGTCATGTGCACAGATCAGGCAACTTAGGATGATCATGCAAAACTAACAGAAGGTTTTCCTGCTTTTAACCTTGAGGACAAGGTTAGTCCTGGTGGGGGGTAACCGAATATGCTGGAGGGAGCCACATCAACACTGATAAAGGAAGGGCACGTGACATAAGGTACCGAAAGTGTGAATATGAGGAGTAACCGAATCAGGGCCACTAACACAAGATTGAAGGATTACATGTGGAAGAGGAGTCATATAAAAGAGTTTGTTAGAAGAGATGGGGGAACGGATTAATTGGGAAATTTCTTCTCTCTTCTGTTCCAGTTTCTCTCTTGATTAGCAAATTATTATTACTGCTAAGTTCTAGCGTAATGGAGATGATGATGTTGTTCTAATGAGCTTTTTATAAAACAGACTATGGTTGGTCAGTTGTTATTATTATGGATTGGTACTTTGGTAGAATACCTTACATTGTTCAACAACAACAACAACATCTAAGTTTTATTCTCAAAAGATTTTGGGGTCAGCTAACATGAATCGATCCATGATATTAGCACCAAAACGAGAAGCAAGATCAGAAAAATAAAAATAAAAAGATAAAATGGATAAGATAAAGATAAAAATAGCATAAGAACATAAGAAAGATAAAAGATAAAAATAACAAAAGAACATAAGAAAGATAAGAGATAAAAATAACATAAGAACATAGAAAGACAAAGAAGATAAAACATAAAAGATAAAAGAAAGAGAGAGAAAAGAGATCAATCGTGCACACGGATACACGCCCTCCACTTTGTTCTCTCCAAATTCATACTCTCATCCAACCCAAGAAGAAGCACATCAGTTATAAATCTTCCTTAAATTGTTATACTTATAAAAAAGAGAATAATAATTCTAAAAGATTATTATGTGTATATATAAAATATTTATGTACTATTAATATAGAATTGGATTTCTTCAAACTCATGTTTAAAGTTATGAATTGTACTTTCTCTTTAGTTTGGTCCCTTCAATCTTATCTTATATAGAACAAAGTATTGATTTGTTATTGGGATTTTGTATACCAATATGTGTATTCAATTAGTTTGGTCAAATTGCTATTTTCAAATAACCTTTTTATTTTAAACGTAATTGAATTGAGATGTTAGGTACTCCCTCCGTCCCATAAACCTTTGCGAGCTTTCCTTATTTAGTCTTCCCAAAACAACTATGTCATTTCATTTATAGTACAGAGTCACAAATATGTGTAGCTAAAGTTATTTCGCGTGAAAGTCAAATTTGGGCAAGTTTTATGGGACAAAGGGAGTATTTGTTTTGGTTTCTTCAAACAAAGGAATAAAATTCACAACATTCTACCGCACAGTGTGAAAAAAGGTCCATTGTACCTTCAATTTGTCAAACACTCGAACCTTCAAAGTGTCTCATCACGGACTCAGTGAGCTACATTGTGAGCAGCAAGATAAGAAAGTGGAAACCAGTCCTGAAAACAACATTAATATCAGAGCAATCGATTAGATTACATCCAAAAAGGACCAAACAATCACGATGCAGGGATCAGGGGCATTGTTGGGGGCAACCTAGGCCCAGTGCACCCCAAATTTAAAAAATACATATATTTTAAGTGTAAAACATTCCGTGTAAAATGTTTTCCAAAAATATTTTTTGTACTGACCCAATCCTGCTGATGCCCTCCACCCCCTGCAGGGATCCTCCACAGGGATTCCGGAATTATTAAGCATTAGCATGTGTAACTGAGTTCTAATAGTTTTCACAAAATAGAAATTAATTTTTGCTAATGAAATTAGAGATTGGGGCTTTTTATCTTTAAACTACCATACGAATCCAAACTCTAGGTGTAAGTCTTTTTCGCAGAATCGTAATCATCACATTCAAAAAGCGCATATGAAGAGCAGCGAGAATCCTTAAGGTAAACACACTGACCAAAATTGAGTTTGGCTGTTAAATCCAGAGCGGCATGGTTCTTCGCATCACTGTCAGATGAAATGGGTCTGAAGTTCGGCGAAGAATAAGGTTCAAGGAAATCTTCTATTATACAAAGACAATAGAAAAAATGAAGAGTGTTCCCGCCCAAATGCAGTGCACTGTTGGGTCGGTCGGGTCACTATGGGTGCACAAACGGGTCCTGGGCAGGCCCACACAAACCTTGAGCCACACAAACATTTAATGCATTGTACAATCTTGGCATAACAATATTAATTTAGACATTGTACTTGATAGTTCTGAACAATAAATGGAGCCACACAAACATTCTTGAGCCTCACAACAATAAATGCAATGTACTACATAATCTCAATGTAGAAATTGAGTGGGTATTTGTACTTGATAGTTCTGAATTGGAGCCACCCAAACATTTCTTGAGCCTCACAAACAATAAATGCAATGTACTACATAATCTCAATGTAAAGATTGAGTGTGTATTTTTAACCCTTGGTTAACCCAATTGATTCACCTTATAATTAATGCATTGTACTACAAATCTTAATATTGAGATTGTGTGGTATTTTCAACCTAGGTTATTCTCTCCTTTATCCAATATAAATACCCAAGCAGGGGATGACCACAACATACCACAAACCAGTATTCAGCAGCTGTATTTTTAAGTTCAAAAGTTCAAAATCAGTGCAATGGCAACCGCTTCATCAGCACAAGGGATGTGGTCCTTGCTCAAGGATATCGATCACACGAAGACGACCTGGGCAATCAAGGTTCGGGTAGTTAGGGCATACGAAGTTCCTCCACACTCTAAGGGCGGGGAGACTCTTGAAATGGTTTTGCATGACGCAGAGGTATGGTTTGTAACATCTAACTTCTATGGCGTCTTTTGTTCAACTTTTCTTAATCCAATGTAAATTCTTACTAGGGAGATCGGATTCACGCCATTATCAAGAGGCCGCAGATAGCAATGTATAAGCCTAATATTACAGAGAACAAAATTTATGCCATAAGAAACTTTTTGGTGCTTGACAATTACCAAACAGTGAAGACTACCAGTCATCCCTACATAATTCAGTTCATCTCAAAAACCCCGTTGAGGGAAGATACGAAGACGGAAATGCCTATGATGGTCTATGATTTTCAGCCTTTTGATATGTTGCATGCCCAAAGAGTTATCAACGACAAAACTCTAATTGGTGAGTTAGAGTGAAATGTTTCCATACTACATTGCTTGCACAAATATCCTAATTACAGTTTCTATCGTTTAATTATGAAGATGTCATTGGGAAGGTTCTTTCCAAGAGCCTTATCCAGACCCACATAATCAATGGGAGGACTGATAGGCTAATGGAGTTGACTTTGACAGACCCGGAGTAAGTTTTACAACTATGTGGATTTTAGCAAAACAAAAGACACATGCTCATTGAATGAAACTTTTCTAAACTACAGGGGTAACAGATTGGGCGCCGTATTGTGGAACAAGTACATAAACACGTATCTGGATTATGTTAATGCTAATGAAGGAGTGTCTGTCTTCGTGAGATTTCAACTATGTAGGCCAAAAAGATACCAAGGTTTGAGAAACTTAGCAGCACTCATTATGTAGTACACAGTAGCCAAAGCTTATGGTAGTGCTGTTTTAAACACAGGGATCTTGACAGTGAATTCGTCTTTTGATGTATCAAAGCTCATAATCAACGGGAACACTACTGAGTTTTTAGAGTTCCAAAGCGAGTATGCGTATTAAATCTCCTAAAACTAAACTCTAACTTCCCAATTTCATAAAAAAATCTCCTAAAACTCAAGTATCCTAGAACTAAAGTCTGTTTACCATGCAATATACAGGTTTCCAGCAGATGGTGATGACACCACGACTCAAACCTGCAACACGCAATGCTCACATGCGCAAGGGAGGGATGATATACTCGGTGAAAATGCTGTCATTACCACCATGGAGGATTTGATGAAGGCAACCGAGGTGTGTCCTGAAGCTAGAGTCATAGATTTCGCATTTTGAATAAATATATCCACTGCTAATAAGAAAATTATACTTGGATAGGAGAATGTTTATTGGGTACTTGCTGAGATAGTTTCTATAGAAAACTATCAAGAATGGTGCTACCTAAGTTGCCCAACATGCCACAAAAAATTGCAACCAGAAGAGGAACGGTTTAGGTGTACAACTTGCAGCATGTCAATGGCAGAAGGAGTTTATCGGTTCATTACTTAACCTAATGTGCTTTTATGGGTGTAGGATGTTCACGTTTTTATTTTAGTAATAAAAATTGTTACTCTGATGATTCAGCTACAATGTCAGTGTGTGTATTATGGACAACACAGGGTATGGAAACTTCATGTTATGGGACAGGGAATGCATAGAAATTCTGGGTAAAACTTCAGCAAGTCTTAAAGCCGAGGTGGAGAAGGTAACACAATAACCCGTTAGCAGTGTTTACTTTATCAGACCTTCAATCAATTATGGATGGGCTAACCACATAACTTGGAAAACACAGAAAACCGGGGATCCAAGTCGCTTTCCGGAAGACATTGAAAGCTTGGTTGGTATAAAGGGAATTTTCAAAATACAGCTCAGGAAGAAGAAAGGTGAGGAAAATGCCTATAATGATGGGATTTCTCTAGGGGTAGTCAGCATCATAAGAGATCCTAATGTTATCTCAATGTATGAGAAGAAAGAGCACTTGGAAACTAATGAAATTGATGAGAGTACACCAGAAAAGGTATTTAGAAAAATTATTAATTTGTGTATTTGGACCTTGAATAAATAAAGATGACAACTAACTTAAAATCGTTTTTTTGCAGATTGGTTCAAATGCAAATTTAGGAGAAACCTCCATTAGAGAAAAATCAACTGTCAGTAAGGGCAAGGGGAAACGAATTTCGGCAGAAAAGGAGGTAAGCGATCGACTGTTAAGAGGTATATAATATTTTCGTTCAAAATTCTGTAGAGGGTTCACTAAACAGCTATATTACTGCTAGGTTTTTGCACCAATTGAGCTTCCCGACACACCTACGGAATGTACCCAAAGGGAGGTCAATGTTGAATTAAATGAAGAGGTCAAAAGAAACTTGAATGATGAATTTTCAAGCACTGGGAATGGCAAGAAGCTGAAGATCAAAATCAAACAGGAACCGCTCTAGAGCGGGTTCAGTTCATGAATAACATTGATGATATTTTGTTGGCACCTACTATTGTGTTTATTGTTATTTGAAAACAGTTTCATGCACATGACGTATGCCTTCTCTTTTTGTGATAACTGAAAACTGTGTAACAGACCATTAAACCCTACTTTATGACTATTGTGTGGTGTGCTATTATGTTTTGACTATGTTTAGGATGTTTTGTATCTATATTGGGCAGTTTTGCAGGATTTCAGAGAAGGGAGATTCCTAAACCATTTAGGGAAGTTTATGCTCCTAATATCTTTGTATTTTATAAACAGACCTTTGTTTTCACACTAACGCTTTACTAATGGTTTCCAGGATGATGAAAAAGTTTTGGGTTAAGAAAAATGCTACCAATGGTGTGAAGAATGGCTTAACTGCTAGACGAGAGCATGGGATGGTGTGAATAAACGATTGAGTGGTGTGCTATTATGTTTTAACTATGTTTAGGATGTTTTGTATCTATATTGGGCAGTTTTGCAGGATATTAGAGAAGGGATATTCCTAAACCATTTGGTGAAGTTTATGCTCCTAATATCTTTGTATTTTATAAACAGACCTTTGTTTTCAAACTAAGGCTTTACTAATGGTTTCCAGGATGATGAAAAAGTTTTGGGTTAAGAAAAATGCTACCAATGGTGTGAAGAATGGCTTAACTGCTAGACGAGAGCATGGGATGGTGTGAATAATGGCTTAACTGCTAGACGAGGCATGGGATGGTGTGAATAATGGCTTAACTGCTAGATTTACTATGAAACATGTAAATGTGCAAACTCTAAGAGGCATTACGTAAACAAGTAAATGTGTACTCTTATGATTTCAAAAGTGTCACATTTGGATTGGAAATGCTAATACAAGTGTATTACATTTAAAAATCTATGCAATATTCTTTGGTTGCAATTTGACAATTGGCAATTTGATTCAACAACTTGCATAATTTTAAATAACCAAGTGAGGTAAAGAAGTTCATACCTTAGTCTTTTGCAAAATGGAGGGTTACCTGCAATCCCTATTTACTAAATAATATTACAAACCTTTTAAATTTTACATAAATGGCAACCTTCTAAGGTCCCAGAACTATTCCTATTACAATTTTCTAGATAGCGTTTTTAAACCTGTTCAACCAGAAAATTACACCTGTCAAAACGTATTAAAAGAGTTATTATTATTATGAACACACTCTTGGATAAAAGTACAAATAAGTTTAAAAAAATGTCTGTTAGAAAGTAAAATTTTGGAATATTTTAGTACATAAAGTTGCAATATCAAACATGAAGTAAATTTTAGGTATTAAAGCTTATTCGAAATTGTTATTCAAAAATAAAAACTTGGTTAGCCATTGCTAAGAGTTATTATTATAAATCGATACACTTGGGAGTTGTGGTATCTTTGACAAAATTGGAAAATAGAAATCTGAAATTAAGTCCATTTTTTGGGAATAAAAATGTGGTAATAATATCTGCCCAAAATGTCATTGAAGTGTTTGTATTTTGAAATTCTTCAAAAATAGAACCATGTCTAAGTAAATATATTTAGTATGGAATGATGTCAAGTGACAAGTAAATATTTGTAAAGATGTCAAAAGCTTGAATATAATAGAAATTTAACCAACATGTCAAAGGGATGTTTGTTTCTGAATGGTATGGAAAGATATATTTAGTATGGATAAAAAGATATGAGAAGTACATGATTCCACTTAGCATTTTGGGCATGTCTATTTCGGCCATATATGTATCCCAGGTATTTTGGGTTTCAAATACGTGGGTTTTAAAAAGGCATTACCCTTGAAATAAATAAATTAAATTAAATTGAATCAATACATATCCAAAGGAATACTGAAAAGTAATAAAAATATATTTATGCACGAAGTGCAAATGGATTTAGCAGAATAATAAAAGATATTTATTGTAAAAGTTTATAAAGAGTATTTAGCAGAATCAAGATCCAAACCTGCCCAAGTTCCCTGTGTACTAATGAAGGTACCAACTTCCAATGTTTGAGATTGTGTGGCTCAAGATATTTATTGTAAAAGTCAAGAGAGCATTAATGAGTAGTATAATAGATTTAAAACTTTGTACTTTAAAAACACATTATTTCTTGGGAGCTAGGTTATATATTTTTACTTAAAAAATAAGGGACAAAATATATAAAAAACATTAAATTGTTTTCAAATAATCGGAAAATATTTTTGGAAAAGTATTCAAAAAATTTGAAAATAAATTTTAGAAAAATAAATTATAACGCGAATATCAAAAAATTATTATAAAATATTCATACAACAAGTTGGTTTTAATTTATTTGATGTAAAAGTTTATAGAGTATTTAGCAGAATCAAGATCAAAACCACCCAAGATAGCTGTGTACTTGAAAGCTGCGGGCAATTAATGCAGGCAACAACTTCCAATGTTGGAGATTGTGTGGCTCAAGAGAGCACAAATTTAAAATTGTATTTTAAAAACACATTATTTTTACTAAATAAATAAAGTACAAAATATATTTAAAAAATAAAATAATTTCAAATACGTAACAATAAATGTTCAGAAGCTCATGATAGTTCTGAACTGGAGTCACACAAACATTTCTTGAGCCTCACAAACAATAAATGCAATGTAATACATAATCTCAATGTAAAGATTGAGTGTGTATTTTTACCCCTTGCAACATTAAATGCAAAACCGTTCATCAAGTACAATGCCCGTTCATCAAGTACAAGGGGCAGTCATTATTGTAAAGCACTTGAGTATCACTACTCAAAAATATTAATACAACACAGTGTATTAATTCTATGATGGAATGTATGTCTGCTGGAATTAAATGAAGATGTACAACAAATATTATAAAATATTCCAGAAAGATAACTTACCAATATTGTAAAGTGAGTGGCTATATAACTCCCAATGCATTTACTCCATGCCCAGAAGCTCATTTATGAGCTCAACCAAAAATTCTAACAATTGAAACTGTGAGAAAGGCTCAAGAATATCTACGACCAGTGCAATTCAGTGTGAAGAAAAGGTATGTTTCATAACTCATTATTGATAATGTTATATGAAACTATGCAATGAACACTAATACCAAATGCATTTAAACTGATTACAACACTTAAAATCCTTTATTTGTAAAAAATAATTGTATTTTTTTTCTTTGTAATGAAAGATGAGAAGCTGTTCATGCAACAAATGTTCTCAACCAAAATGTCATACATGTGGACACTATCCTGGACTCTCTTGGTTGCAACCATGCTCTTTGTGTAATGGGAATTTAAGTCACTTTTACTGCATGAGGCCAATAA